CCTCTTCCTCCCCTCTTCCCCTCTTCTTCCTCTTCCTTCCCTATTCCCTTCTTCTTCCCTTCTTCTTCCCTCCTCCTCTTCTTCCCTCTTCTCATCCCCTTCTTCCTCTTCCACTCCCCTCTTCCCCACTTCTTCCTTCTTCCCCCTCTTCCCTCTTCTTCCCCTCTTCCTCATCCACTTCTTCCTTCCTCTCCTCTTCCCCTCTTCCCCTTCCCTTTTCCCCCTCTTCCCACCCCCTCTTATTCCCCTCTTCCCTTCTTCTTCCTCCTCCTCATCCACTTCTTCCTCTTCCCTCTCCTCTTCCTCTTCTTCCCCTCTTTCTTCCCCCTCTTCCCCTCTTCTCCCTCTTCCCTTCTTTACCATTCTAATTTCTATTGTCATTTCCCTCATCCTGGTGATTTTCCAGTTATACTACCTAATTTTCTCCATCCTTTATTCCCCCCATTCTCCATATTCTTCCTCCCCCATACATTAATCCATTTCCTAATTTCTGCTCTTTCATCTTTACACTTTCCCCCTTCTGTTGTCCCCCCTCTCTCTCTCTCTCTCTCTCCCTCTCTCTCTCTCTCTCTCTCTCTCTCTCTCTCTCTCTCTCTCTCTCTCTCTCTCTCTCTTAATTCATTATACCGTTCACCCTTCCTCATCTTCTATCTCCCCCCCTCTTTCCCCTCCCCATCTTCCTCCCCCATCCTTTCCTCTATCCTCTCCTCCATCCTCTCCCCCTTCACTCTCCTCCTTCCCCCATCCATCTCTCCTCTATTCATCTCTCAGCCCTCCTCTCCCTTCCCTCCCATTCATCCCCAGCCCTCCTCCTTCCCCCGTTCCTCTTCTCCCCCAACCCCTCCCCCTCCCCAGCCTCCCCCCCCAGTCACCAATTTCCCCTCAGCCTGGCACAATCCTCTGACTCAGCACCCATTTTCCCTCACTATAATCCTCCATATTACAGAATGTATCTCTCCCTCCCCACCTTCTCTCACCCACCCCTCCCATCCCCACCCCCCTACTCCCCATCCCCTCCTCTCCCCCCCTCTCCCCTCTTCCATCTTCCTCCTTCCAACCATCTTAAAAACTCCCCATTTCTTTCCTTCTCCCCTACTCCTCTCTCCCCTCTCTCCCCTCCCCTCTCCTACCCCCCTCCCCTCCCTCTCTCCCCTCTTCCCCTTCCCCTCCCCTCCCCTCCTCCCCCTTTCCTCCCCTCCCCCTCTCTCCCTCTTCTTTATACTCTCCCTCCTTTACCCTAATTCTTCTTCTCTCTCCCCCCCTCCCTCCTCTACCCCCCTCCTCCCTTACCTTCTTTACTCTCCCTCCCCTCCCTCCCTCCCTCCCCCTCTCCTCTCTCCCTCCCCTCACCTCCCCTCCTCCCTCTCCCCCCCTCCCCTCTCTCCCCCCCCCCTCCTCTCTCTCCCCCTCCCTCTCTCCCCCTCCCCTCTCCCCCTCCCCTCCCCTCCCTCCCTCCCCTCCCTCCCTCCCCTCTCTCCCCTCTCTCCCCTCCCTCCCCTCCCTCCCCTCCCCTCCCTCTCTCCCCCCCTCCTCTCTCCCCCCCCCCTCCCCTCTCCTCTCTCTCCCCCCTCCCCCTCTCCTCCCCCCCTCCCTCCCCCCTCCCCTCCCCTCCCTCTCCCTCCCTCTCCCCTCTCTCCCCCCCCCCCCTCTCCCCTCCCTCCCCCTCCTCCTCCCTCCCTCCCCTCCTCCCCTCCTCCTCCCCCTCTCCTCCCTCCTCCCTCCCCTCCCCTCCCCCCTCTCCCCCCCCCTCCCCTCTCTCCCTCTCCCCTCCCTCTCCCTCTCCCTCCCCTCCCACCCCCTCTCTCCCCTCCCCTCCCTCCTCCCTCCCTCCCCCCCCCCTCTCTCCCCCTCTCTCCTCCCTCCCTCCCTCCTCTCCCCCCCTCCCTCTCTCCCCCCTCTCTCTCTCCCTCCCTCTCCCCACTCTCCCTCCCCTCACTCCCCTCCCTCCTCCTCTCTCCTCCCCTCCCCTCCTCCCTCTCCCTCCCCTCCCCCTCCCCCTCCCTCCCCTCCCTCTCCCTCTCTCTCTCCCTCCCTCCTCTCTCCCTCCCTCCCCCCCCCCTCTCTCCCTTATCTTTCTCCCCTCCTTCCCTCCTACCTTCTTACTCTCCCCTCCCTCCCTCCCCTCCCCTCCCCTCCCTCCCTCCCTCTCTCCCCTCCCCTCCCCCCTCCCCTCCCTCCCTCCCCTCCCTCCCCCTCCCCTCCCCTCCCTCCCTCCCTTCCCTCTCCCTCTCCTCCCCTCTCCCTCCTCCCCCCTCTCTCTCTCTCCCCCTCCCTCTCCCCACTCCTCTCCTCCCTCCTCCTCCCTCCTCCCCCCCTCCTCTCTCCCCCCCTCCCTCCCTCCCTCCCCTCCCCTCCTCCTCCCTCCCTCCCCTCCCTCCTCTCTCCCCTCCCTCCCCTCCCCTCCCCTCCTCCCCTCTCTCTCTCTCCTCCCCCCCTCCCCTCCCCCCTCCCTCTCCCCTCTCTCCCTCCCCTCTCTCCTCCAGCATTAATGAAGTTTTTGGTGCTGTTATTTTAATTTTTCAATTTCACTTTCATACAGGCGACAAGAAGTTGCTATAAGGAGCTCTGAGTCGTGTTATCCTGCGCCTCTCTCTTAGAGATTCTCTCTTCCAGCCTCCCACCCCCAAGTACTGCCTCCCTCGCTCAGGTCTCTCTCTCTCTCTCTCTCTCTCTCTCTCTCCCGCCCAGATTAATCTTCCAGCTTTCCATTTTGTTGGGTGTACGCTGACTCTTCTTCTTCTCTTCTTCTTCCTTCCTCTTCTCCTTCCTCTTCCTCTTCCTCTTCTTCCCTATTGTCTTTCATCTCATCTCCTCTCTTCTCTCCATTCCCTTCCTTCCTCCATCTCTCCATCTCTCTCTCCCTCCTCCCCTCCCCATTCCTGTCTCCCATCATCCTCCTTCCTCCTCTCCTTCCTCCCCAACCCCTCCCCCATCTCCCCTCCCCAACCATCCTCCCTATCTCCCCTCTCCCTCCCCCCATCTCCCTCTTCTCCCAACCATCCTCCCCATCTCCCCCCTCCCCAACGATCCTCCCCATTCCCTCTCCTCTCCCTCCCCCTCCCCACCTCTTCTCCTAACCATCCTCCCCAATCTCCTCTCTCCCTCCCTCCCCAACCATCTCTCCCTCCCTCCCTCCCCAACCATCCTCCCCATCTCCCAGCCGGCCATAAGGTTCGCCTGTCATCCCCGATCGTCACCGAAAACATTATGAAATGACTTTTTACCACGACCCTGAGAGGTTGTCCTTGATCCTTTTAGGAGGGAAATGGGTTTGACAAGTGAGTCTCAAGTTGTCGTGAATTTGGTATGGTAACGTGACCAATGTTTTACTGAGGTGTGTGTGTGTTTATCAGCCTCCTCCTCCCTTCCTCTTCTTCTTCCCTCCTTCTTCTTCCTCCTTCTTCCTTCTTTCTTCTTTCTTCCTCTTCCTCCTCCTCCTCCTCCTCCTCCTTCCTCCTCCTTCTTCCTCCTCTTCCTATCTTCCTCTTCCTACGTCTCCCATTGCCTTTTCCTTCTTCCACTGCCTCTCCTTCCTCCTGTCTCCTCTTCCTTCTTTCCCTTTCTACTCCTTTCCTCCTCCCTCCCTCCCCCCCATCACACAATATATTTACAAAAAATCTGCATTTCAGATTTCATTACTGTTTTATAATCGTCCCGGAGAATCTGGGGAAAACCTGACTTGTTATTATAGTTTCGTGAGATTTTTATTTTAAACTCGATTTTTTTCTTCAATTATTGATTACGATTATTTTTATATGATAATCGTGTGTGTGTGTGTGTGTGTGTGTGTGTGTGTGTGTTTGAGAATCGACCTTAGGCTTGAGAACAATGGCTTTAAATACATCACTGTCCTTTTCTTCTTCTGTCTGTCTGTCTGTCTGTCTCTGTTCTCTTTTTTCTTTTCTTCTTCATTGATTAAAATACTGAGAGAGAGAGGTATTGAACACCTGTGAAGATTACCTCACTACCTGGGATTCAATTAAACAACCTTGACTCATTAAAAAAACACACATCCAAACAAATTTTTATTTTGTTGAAGATCAATTTACCTTTTTTTTTTTTCTTTCATCAATTTTTTTTTTTCTTAATTAATATATTTTCTTACCTGAGTTATTTTTCTTAATTTGGTTTTATTTGTCTGGCAGAAATAGAAATTACTGTCGACGTATTTTGATAAGTTGATAATTTGAGACCTGTCAGGTAACATTACTGCAGGTGGATTTATTGTCACCTGTCAGCCTGTTTACCTGGGGAGAAGGTGAGGGGAGGGGAGGAGGAGATATAAAGGAGGGAAAAATGAGTAATGGAGGAGGTGGAGGGGTAGAGGAGAGAAGAATTCAGCTGATAAGTCTCTCTCTCCATACACGCCCACGTAAAGTTAGTTATATTCCTGCAAATCATGAGACAATGATGCCTTTGACCAGGTGTCTCTCTTACCTGTGTGCGTCCCTCCATAACTCTCTCCATTCCATCCCTCACTATCTCTATTCTCCTCCCCCCACTATTCCTCCTTCTTTCCTCCCCTACTATCCCCCCCTCCTCCTTCCCCTCCCCACTCCTCCTCCTTCACACATATCCCTCCCTCCTACCATCTCCTCTCTCTCCTTCTCCTTCCTTCCCCTTCCTCCTCTTCGGTATAGAGGAGTCTTGTGTCGGTCACCTCGAGAAAGGAGCCACTCGTCCAAGACTCGTCCAGTGCCAAGGAGGGTTGTGGAGGAAGAACCATCTTGGAGTGATCTGGAGGAGGAGGTGAAGGAGGAGGAGGTGGAAGGAAAGAAGGAGAGGAAGAGGAGAAGGAGGTGAAGGAAGGAAGAGGAGGAAGGGAAGGGAAGAAGAGGAGGAGGAACAGGAGGAGTGATGGTTTTTGAGAGGGTTTGGGTATGAGAGGAGAGAGAGAGTGAGAGGGCAAGAGAGAGAGAGAGAGAGGGGGCAAGAGGGCAAGAGGGAGGTAAACTGAAAGAAACGAAGTTAGTGAGTGTTCCACCTTTCCATCGTGGCAGCACCGGCGACGTCGGGTACTGGAACACGACCTGTATATAACAAGACGACACGAACGACAAGACGACACGAACGACAAGACGACACGAACGGCAGGACGACACGAACGGCAGGACGACACGAACGACAAGACGACACGAACGACAGGACGACACGAACGACAGGACGACACGAACGGCAGGACGACACGAACGACAAGAGACACGAACGGCAGGACGACACGAACGACAGACGACACGAACGACAAGACGACACGAACGGCAAGACGACACGAACGGCAAGACGACACGAACGGCAAGACGACACGAACGGCAGGACGACACGAACGACAAGACGACACGAGCGGCAGGACGACACGAACGACAAGACGACACGAACGGCAGGACGACACGAACGACAAGACGACACGAACGGCAGGACGACACGAACGACAGGACGACACGAACGACAAGACGACACGAACGACAAGACGACACGAACGGCAGGACGACACGAACGACAAGACGACACGAATGACAAGACGACACGAACGGCAGACGACACGAACGGCAGGACGACGAACGGCAGGACGACGAACGACAAGACGACACGAACGACAAGACGACACGAACGACAGGACGACACGAACGACAGGACGACATGAACGGCAGGACGACACGAACGACAAGACGACACGAACGGCAGACGACACGAACGACAGGATGACACGAACGACAAGACGACACGAACGGCAAGACGACACGAACGGCAAGACGACACGAACGGCAAGACGACACGAACGGCAGGACGACACGAATGACAAGACGACACGAGCGGCAGGACGACACGAACGACAAGATGACAATGAACGGCAGGACGAACCGACAAGATGA